CCGGGATCTTTATGACCACCAGCCTGGCCAAACCGACAACAAATTGAATTACAAGAAATAAAAGATCAAAAATCTATTAGGAGGCAATTGCCTTTTCTAAAAAAAAAAAAAAATCTATTAATAGGAAATTTAACGTATCTAACTAAGCTTTCATGGAGTAAAGGTCCAAATAAGGACTTGAACTTTGTAATTTTTTTTATTTAAGGATGTAAACTTTTTCAGTTTCTAATTAAGGCGGTTAACTTTCAATTTTTTTCTAATTAAGGATTTCAACTTTGAGTTTTTTTCTATTTAAAGATTAATTGATGGAGATGCTGACGTTGTAAAAAAATTTTAAACGGATGTTTTAAACGGAATGCTGATGTGTATAAATATAATTTTAATTTACTGATGTATTTGCTGACTGGACCAAAAAATTAATTAAAAAAAAACAAATCAGTTTAGTAGGCCCATTTATTCAAACAAATTTTCTATCTACAAAAAGAAAACAAATCAGATCTCGAAATTGCTCATCTCTCATTTTTTTTCTTTTTCTGCGCTGTTGCTCTCTCTTCTTCTTCTTCTCTGTTTTCATCTCAAATCATGAATGAAAAACATATTTTTCTCATTTTTTTCTGCACCGCTACTCTCTTCTTCTTCTTCTTCTTCTTCTTCTTCTTCTTCTCTGTTTTCATCTCAAATCACGAATGAAAAACAGATCTTTTTGAGTATTTTTTTCTGCGCCGCTGCTCTCTCTTCTTCTTCTCTGTTTTCATCTCAGATCTGGTTTCAAATCACGAACGAAAAACACATCTCATGGGTTCGGAGACAAAATGTCAAGCTGCAGTTCATCCTTTGCACACTTGAGTGGTAGATCCGGTCGACTCTTATGGCGAAAGCTGTTTGTGACTACGGGGTTTGGGTTCCGATTAAGGTGTCTTCAAGCTCTAATAATCCTTGGAGAAGCTACATGACCTGCCCTCTTTTTGATAAATGGTAAAATAGATGTTTAATTTTCCATTGGTGGGTTGCTTTCTGGACTTTTTTCATCTGCGGTTTGTAATGGAAATTTCTCGATTTTTCTCCCTTTTTTGCTTATGGGTTTTGACAAAATGTTCCTGCTCTTACTTGTTTTTTCTTTGTGCCAATTTGATGGTCCGTGAAAAATGGTATTTCCGGGATTTCAGGGGAAGAGGAATTGCAAATTTTGGGCATGGATTGTGAATTCGATGGAGCCTTATCTTTTGCTAATATACTGAATTCAGTGAAATAAAAAGGAAAGGTTGAATGAGCAGTTGATTAGTGAATTGAGGGCTAAGTTGGATATTGAGAAAATGAAATTAAAAGAGCTTAATGATCGTATTGTTGAAAGTGCCAGTGAAGTGTGAGGTACAGCTAAGTGAACAAAAGTTGAAAAGTGCAGGGGAAAAGTTCGGCAGTGTTGTGGACAAATTATACATTGCTGGGGAAACATTGAGCAATATATAGCACAAAAAGAGCTTTGCAGAGAAACTGGCAAAGTGAATCACCAAATACTGAGTGCTGAAGGAAGGCTTTTGTTATGGCCATGCCATAATCTATTTTCTTCTAATGTTCTTGTATGTACTAGTTTAGATTGTAGAAATGGTCTTGGATGCAAAAATTGTAAGCATGGAATGTATATTGATGTTAAAGCCAAATTGCCTTGGAAACAACATTGTACAATGTTTTCTTTTTGAATAAAACTTGTCATCTTCCTTATCAAATTGTCTTTTGCATATCATTGTGCTATTGAATAATATCTTAAATTGAAGAAACTGAATAGAAAACAGGTTCCATTTTGTGCATCAACTAAAAAACAAAATATACAAGTGGAATAATTTGTCTATAGACTGGGAAATAGTGATTGAAAATCAGATTTCATTTTGTCCATAAGTTTCAAAACACAACTACACAGAGATGGCTCCTGTCAACATAAATATGGATCAGTCTTCCATAAAAAATAATCACCACATACCAGAGATAACTCCTACCAAAAAATAAAAAGAAAAAGTCCATAACATAGATTCATGGTTGGTCTAGACTAAAATTCTGACTTTCTTGTGTGAGGCATTGACTTGAAAGTGTGGACTGCTATTGTGAGCATGAAGGTTCAACCTCATTGGGGGACGTTTTTTGTCTTTTTGATTTTGCATTTCCAGTATCCTTGCAAAAAATAGTACATTACTTTTAAAAAAATTATTATAACATAATAAATGATAGAATTAGGGAGAAATTATGGAATTATACCTTTTTTGAATTCTTCTTTTGTATCTTTTTAGTTGGGGGACCAGAAAATGCATCTCTGACATTCAAAACTACCCTTGGCTGAGCTTGAGGAGGAGTGGCCTTTGATTTCTATTTAATCTTTAGAGGTTTCTGTACAATTAAAATTAACATATCCAGTTAGACTTTGAAAAAACAAGCAAATAAAAAACATAAAGCAGTTAAAATAAAAAAAGTTAACCTCAAGAACATCTCTCTTGAAGGTTGGATCATCTTTCCGTGGGCATCCTCTCTTGTTATGTCCTTGAAACCCACACCAAGAGCAAGTCATTTGCACACCTTTTTTAGAAACTTTTCCTCATCTCCTCTTGTAACTTTTGCTGTCTCATGTGCTGGTTTTCTCCTTTGCACTTTGGGTCTGCCTTTGTCCTTCTTGAATGGTGGTGGATCCAGCTTCAAACCTTTATGTAGCTTCCAAGTCTCTAATCCTTCTATACAATCAACTGAGAATTTGTATGCTTGTAGGTATGTAGACTTTCTATACCAATGTGCAACCCCATCTTCAATGTTAACATTACATGAGTACATCACACAAATGGCATGACAACATGGTATACCCGTAAGATTCCACCCCCTACAAGTACATTCCTTCCTACTCATGTTCACAATAAATCTGAAATCACCCTTTGAAACTTCATACTCGTCGGTCCCATTCCCTTGAGCCTTCCAGGTGCACCCTTCCTCAATATTTTCTTCCAAAATTGATCTAATTCTAGTTGCAATGTCCCCATTCCATGATGAAACAGATGCTCTTTTTATTTTTATTCTATTCATAAACCATATGTCTAATTTCTTCTAACATTGTTAAAATTGCTTTGCACCTAGCTTCTAAAATCCATGCATTAAACACCTCAGACAAATTATTATCAACCATGTCACACTTACAATCAGTTTCAAAGAAAGCCTTCACCCAGAAATTACCTATCAAACGAGAAATGTCATTAAATCCTTCAGGGCATTTTTCAGCAAGTTTCTGGAAATTCTTCTCAAATTGCTCCATGTAGGTTGATTTGGCAAATGCCCAAAACATTCTTTTTTCTTCTTCTCCTTTATGCTCCTTTGACCAATTGCTGTACAAGTGTCTAACACAAAATCTGTGCTTAGCCTCTGGAAGTAAAGCATGCACAGAAGATATAATGGCCTGAAATTTTCAATTAGAGAATGTCAATAATATTAGAAACATAATTAAAGTATAATATGAAATTATAAATAATTTCCACAAACTATTACCTTATGTTGGTCAGACATCACAACTAATCCCTCACCAAGTCCAAGATTTAAATCATTTCTAATCAACTGCAGAAACCAGCCCCATGTCTCATTAGATTCACCACTAACAACTGCCCATGCAATCGGAAACATCTGCTTATTTCCATCTATACCAACTGCTGTCAACAGCACCCCTTTGCACATACCTTTCAAAAAACATGCATCAATGCCAATAATTCTTCTACAACCTTCCATCCATCCTTTTTTACATGCAGCCAAACAAATGTATATGCTTTTGAAAACAGGATTCGGATTGTTAATGTATGTGTCATACAACACATCAACAGTGTTCTCTCGGTTTTTTTCAACCAAGGCAGCTTTGTACCCCATTAGACATGCATACTCTTCCTTGTAGTTCCCTTCCAACTCATTGAGAACTATTGATTTTGCCCTCTTCATCATAGTAGTTTGAACAACCAAATTTAGCTCCTCCTTGCATGCATCCTTCAATTGCCTCAATTTAATCATTGGATTGGAGTCTATTTTAGGTTTCAAAAACCTAGCAAGCCACACTGCATTAGCCATAGGATTCTCTTGTTTCTTGATACAATTGTGAGTCCTCGAATATGAAACAATTCTAAAGCACTCATCCTTCTTAGAAAAAGATGCGCTTATGTACCACTTGCAAAAAGGACATGTGCATGGCAACCTTTGAGAGGTTGCATCATTCTTCAACCATTCAAGAACACAACCCTTCAAGACAGCATACGTCCTAATGGCTTCTTTAAACTCATCACAGTTAGTAAACTTCATACCAACCTCAAACACCGGAATATCTGTTATTTTCCCTTTAACATAAATTGGGCAAGTTGTTCTCCTTATAACAGCATATTCTTTAACAGAAAATTCATCTTCAGCATTGTTTGAATCATATTCTCCAGGATCATCACTATCAATATAATCCGACTCCCCACCTCCAACATTCAAAGTTTGGCTATCAACTAAGGGATCATAAGGAACACTATTTTCTAGTAAGTTTTCAGGAAGAATTAATTGACTAAGCCTCTTCCTCTTTGTTTTTGCTCGGTTTTTCCCCCTATTTCCTGGACCCCATTTTCCAACACTTGGATTATTGACAACATTTGGGGCATCAGATTCAACTGCAACAAATATTTGACTTGTAGAACTAGGCTTTACAGAAACTGATAAATTACCTTGAGAGTTGTTAATTGCTCCCAAGAACTCAGGATCATCATTATCACTAATGACACCAACATCAAAAAGGACTGCATCTTCTTCATTATAAAATTCAAGATCATCATTTTCATCATCACTAAACTCATTAATGCACTGATTTGAAATTTTTGAATTGCCACAATGCACAACAAATATATTCATTGTTCCATGAGCAATCAACAGCTTAGCCATCTTCAGAATATCACTATCATTGTTTAAAGGCATTAAAACATTTGAAGTTGGTTAGTTTGGGAGTAAATAAAACATACTCTTTATACCATATGAGCAAACTTTATTTATTTCATCAACAATGTCCTTATAACAGAGGAAGTGAGGGTCTACTTCATCATCTTTAATTAAGCTACCTCCAACATAATCAACCACAAGGGACCTCACTAAAACCCCACCATAATATTTATTCAACCTAGTCTTTCCTTGCATCCTGGAGAAGTACAGAAAGTAAAGTGCAATCAATTAAAAATTCCATGCATTAACAAAACACCAATTTTTGAAAAAAAAATAATAATTAAAAAAACCCATGATATATGGTCTGTCCCACTACCAAACATAGCCTAAGTCCCACCTCCGAACAAACGTCCACGAAAAGTAATCTAAAGGCCAACCAACAAAAATCAATCCAAAAAAGTAATGCACACCCACCAACCGAACAAAACAGAATAAAGGATTAAAAATATTAGACTTATAACATGGGACATAAATTATTTGAAAGATTCATAAAATTTTAAAATAAACTATTGCTAATCTCATTCTTTACACGTGATTCAAAATAGTTTAACAAATAATTCATGAAATTTTACCTTGAAAAGATGAAAAGAAAGACACTTCAAGTCTGCAAAGCAACAGAATGTCCTTCAAAGCAACAGAATGTCCTTCAAAGCAAGTCTGGTCCTCTACAGAATTAGACAGTAGAATCAGAGTAAAGCATGGATTTTTTGGCACTTTTATTTTGGTTGTTGGGAGAACATCATCAACTTTAAATGTCAAACAGACTTTGGAGGGATTCTTCCTGCCGTGTCAAACTCTAGGGTTCACCATTTTCTTTTTTGCTTTGTCGTGTGATCTTCCAAGGTAAATGGGCCCACTAATCTGATTTGTTTTTTTTTTAATCAATTTTTTGGTCCAGTCAGCAAACATATCAGCAAATTAAAATTATATCTATACACATCTGCATTCCGTTTAAAACATCCGTTTAAAATTCGTTTGCCACGTCAGCATCTCCATCAATTAATCCTTAAATAGAAAAAAACTCAAAGTTGACATCCTTAATTAGAAAAAAATTGAAAGTTAACCGCCTTAATTAGAAACTGAGAAAGTTTACATCCTTAAATAGAAAAAATTACAAAGTTCAAGTCCTTATTTGGACCTTTACTCAGCTTTCATGCAAGTAAGTTTCAATAGAATGTTTGTATGTAACTTAAAATATAATATATTCTTTTCATTTCATAATAGTTATTGTTTTTTTGACTTTCTCTAAATTAAGAATTTAAAAATCATTTATGTATTTACTTATGTAACCCTTAATAAAAACTAAAAAATAAAGAAAATTTTTTTATAATAGGATAATTAATTAAATTAAATGGATAATAATAAA